CTCTCCCAGGAACAGAGGAAAGAAGAGAAGTTACTTAAGAAAGAATAGTGCATACACACAGAGGGGGTGGGGGAAGTGGGAGGGGAGGGGAAGAGGAAAGGAAGGGAGGGAGGGGAGAGGGAGGGGCGGAGATTGAGGAGGAAAAGGAGAGGGGGAGAGGAAGAAAGGGAAGAAGGGAAGGAGAAAGGGAGAAAGGGAGGGAGGGAAAGAAAGAAAAGGGGCAGTTTGACCAGAAGAGTTTTACAGAGGCAGATTGAAGATAGAACAGGCTAAACGCAGGTGAAGACAAAACTAGCTATATATTAAAAAGGGGTCAGATTAGAACAGATTGTTGGATAGTTTGAGTAACAAACAAACAAACAAATTTTGTACCATAGGATCCTGCAATTCCACTCTTTGGCCTATAACCAAAGGTCTTGATTTTGACAATAATCAATAACTTTTAAAGAGCTCTTAAATCCCAATCAATAGGAGAAACACATGCCTAGTTCTATAAACACAGTCAACTATGTGTTTCTGATGAGAATATGAAACCTAGAGAAGAATATACTAGTGACAGGTACACAAACTATTATAATCTGTAAACTTAGTATTTTTGTGTCACTCAAAAAATGTAACTCTTTTTACAACATATGAAGATGATTACAGAACTCCATGACTGTCTAAATAGGAGGAACAACTGATGATGGGATAGCAGCCACACTTCATCCAAATACAGTACCACCTCTGTGCTTAAAGCTCAGGAAATATTTTAGAAGAGAATAAAAAAATATTCTAATAAAGAGAGTACAAGGAAGACTGTGAAAGCATTTTAATTTCTACACATGACAGCAAAAAGGCACTGTAAACCACAACAAAATAGTCTCCTAAAAAAAGAGGCAAAAATAATATCACATGAAATGCTAATAAAGGACAGGAAAATCACAAGGGCTTCATTCCTAGATGGAGAAATAGGAAAGTTAATGATTACTGAGAACATAATCAGACTTTCTATGGGTATATATGAATGAAAGGAAAAGAGGCCATTAATTTGAGAGAGAGTAGGGGAATCATGGAAGTGGATTGTAGGGAGATGCAGGAACTGTTACAATTATAGCCCTTACTATACAATCCTCAAAAATGAAGTAAAAATGAATAAAAAAGAATCATTTTGTTGTAATTAAAAATGTTTATTATTTTAAAAGTAATACTTATGAAACACACACACTCAATCTCTCTCTGACACACACACACACACATATGACATGTGAACTCTCAACTATGGGCATAAAGATCCACATCTTTCTTATTTTTGTTTACATTGCTGATTTTGAGAAACATTGTAGGAAAAGTCTGCAGTGACGGCAGTCCCCAATGACATGAGGTTCCAAAAGGGTTTATTTTCATGACAGATAGTAGATGGATATGGATGTACCCCCGGAAAATCAGGGCAGACTTGAGCTAAATAGGGAGGGAGAAAGGGAGAGGGTCTGGGGAAGAATGCTTAATTGGCCTTCATTAGTATGTAAATCTCTCTAGGGCCTGAGGCCTGTAGTCACACCCCCTACCTGTGCACTTTGGGAGGGGCTGCAATGGTCTACATGACTGAACAATGTAGGTCCATGGAGACTAGACTGCGTGTAAGGACCCTGGGTTCTGGGGACGTAGCTGAACACCTGCCATTTCTCCCTTGTAGTCTCAGGGTTCCAGGCCCATGCCCAGCCAAGAACCAAGATAACTTTACACAGTCCCACATCTCCTCCCCTTTACTTTTTTTTTAAATGGGGGGGAGGTGTTTCACTGTGTCATCTGTGGTGAAAATTTTGGATGAGGAAGTAAAAAAAAAAGCACTATGTTGGCCAGAGGGTTTAGCACAATTAAGTCACAGGATAAGGGGAGTTGAGGGTGGGGGTTGTGAAGGCAAGGGATCATTGAATCAATTGAATACAGGTGGTATGGTTTGAAGATGATAAAATCTGACTAATCTAGATAGACATGATGTTTTCCTTACTAACATGTAACTTTAGCTAGTTGATGTTGGTAAAAGTGTTCCTCTGTAGCAGGAAGGTCTGGATCTGTCCGTAGGACTCAATGAGTGTCTCTGGATCTTGACGTGCATCTCTGGATCTCAGAGTGTCTCTGGTGTCTGTAGTCAGACAAGGCAACTGGGACAATGTAGTTTGGTGTCTCAGCCAGATTCCAGAAGATGGCATTGTCTCTGGGTCTCAGCATGTCTCTGGAGTCTGCAGTTAGAGGAGATGGATGGGAGAAGGCAGCTTGACATCTTGGGCAGGGTCCAGGAGGTGACGTTGTCACCACTGGACTTGTGGAAGCACCTATAGGATAATCACAACAGGGAAGCAGCACCAGGCAGGGGGATGTCTGCAAAGGGTGTGTAGTAAGCATTAGGCCACTTGGGAGCAAGCACATCATGCATGGTCTGTCATTAAGATCCTAGAAAGGCAAAGGTGTTTGAGGAAATTTTAGTCTTGAAATGTATCTTTGAGTCTGTTTTGGATGGCTGAGGAAGAAAACATCATGTTAATTATGTATCTGGGGTAGGCAGCAACAGTTTATCTGTAAAAGGAAATTAGTTGTTAATTAAGGATTGAAAAATGGTGATCAGCATGTTGATTTAACCTGTGGAAGTAGATTTAGATGACTTTTGAACCTTGAAGAAGTCTCATATAGTTGAAAAAAATGTTGGCACGAATGTTAGAGAGAAAAGGAGACATTTAAACAAAAAAGTGAAAAAATGTTGGGTTGAAAAGCATGAACACTGTTGTTTTAGGTGTTCATGTTGGAAGGAAAAGGCATTAATTGCAGGAAAGCACAAACATTGTTGTAGGTATTCCTGTTGGGGAGAAAAAGCATTAATGGTGGGTTTAGAAGCAGTGGGGGAGGGGCCTGCTCTGCCATGTGGTGGCTGGGCTGACACATGGTGGCTAGGTGCTCTAGCAGAAAGGCCAGGGTTTTCCCCATTTGTTTTTCTTAGGAATCCTAAATGTAGAGGAGAAAAAGGCCAACCTTGAAGAAAAGCTCAAAGCAAGAAACATACAAGCTTGATAGGAGAGTCAGAGTCAGAAGGAGTGAGATTCTGTGTGAGAGACTGAGTCATGGGAGAGAGACACGTGGAGGCTGGCTTGGAGGCAGCAGTTCCTGGGAGAAGCTGGCAGACAGCGCACAGTTTTTCCAGGTCCAGCCTGGCATTTTTAGCCATGAGAAAGAAACTGTGAGGAACACAGAGGCAAAGGGAGCAGACAGGGTCTCAGACCTGCTGCTTCAGGCAGCTTCAAGCCAGTTGGGCTGTAGCTGGCACCAAATGACCTAGGAGGTGAATGAGGGAAGGGAGCAGGGAGCTGGCTCAGTCAAGCTGGTTGGGCTGTAACCAGCTGCAAATGGTGGAGCAGTGGGGGAAGTCTAGGCTAGGATAGCAGGCAGCCTGTGAAAGACTGATTCCCTGGGAGAAAATCACTGGGGACTAGTGTTTAGAGCCAGTGTTCCTGAGAAGCTAGCAGGCAGAGCATGAAATGCTGACCCCTGGGCTCTCAAACCCTTGGGCTCTCAGTCTGCTAAGAGGCCACGGAAGGACTGAGACTTGGGGCATGTGGACACAGGACTCTATGACCCTCAGCTGAGAGAAACGAGAAGGGAAGGGAAGAAAGAGGCCCCTGCAGCACCCTGCAGGAGAGATTTGGTTACTGTACTTGCTCACCAGACTTGGTGGCCTGGCTAGCTAGCTTGAAGATGTGGGTCCCTCATGGCTGGAATGCAGAGAAGTCCTCCAGGTGAGAGAATAAGCAGCTGCAGCTATGGCGGTGGTGGCATTGAAGGCCTTCTCTGCAGCTCCCACATGGCAGGCCTCCTTAGCTGTCTGAAACCACAGCTTAGCATGGGAGAAGCATGGAATCTTGGTTGAGTCAATTCAGCACAGAACCAGACAAGTGTGGCAGAATGCTTGGATGCATGTGTCTCAAACTGTACTGGATGAATGTTGCCTGAATCATGCCCGGGCAGGGAGCAAAGCCAGTCTGAGGTTCCATGGGGGTGAGAGGAGGGCTCTCTTCAGTGGGGAGGTAGGGATCTCTGTTTGTGGTCCCAGACGCTGCAGAGGGGCAGGGGGCTAAGCAGAACAGAGACCATTGGGAGCACACAGAGCTATGCTGTGTGAAGCGACAGGCTTGCAAGCCCCGAGATAGGCAAGGGAGACAGAGAGAGCCTTGGCCCCACATCACATGGGATGTATTCACCTGTAGCAGGCTGGGGTGGCCCAATTCTTGAAGTCTGTGGATGTCTGTGCCCTGCATGAGTGCCAGATGTGGGAAAATAGCCACAGCAGAGTCCTGGGGACTTTCCACATGGTTGGTCCCACAAACAGGAGAAAATCTAAGGTTCCAGAGGCTGGGGGCTTTGGCGACGGCAGGCTCCCATGATATGAGGAAGTCCTTGTTTCCAAAAGGGTTTATTTTCATGGCAGATAGTAGATGGATATGGATGTACCCCAAAAACTCAGGGCAGACCTGAGTTAAATAGGGAGGGAGAAAGGGAGAGGGTCTGGGGAAGAATGCTTAATTGGCTCTGCCCTCTGGCCTTCATTAGTATGTAAAGCTCTCTAGGGCCTGAGGCCTGTAGGCACACCCCCTACCTGTGCACTTTGGGAGGGGCTGCAATGGTCTACATGACTGAAAAATGTAGGTCCATGGAGACTAGACTACTTGTCAGGACCCTGGGTTCTGGGGACGTGGCTGAACACCTACCGTTTCTCCCTTGGAATCTCGGGGTTCCAGGCCCATGCCCCACCAAGAACCAAGATACCGTTACACAGTCCCACAAAACATATGAGATATTAGGTGCTTAAAATTTAAAGTTGAAATGTGTAATACTAAAACACATCAAAGATTCCTAACATATGACTAATAATAATGTAAAGTAGTATAAAATAAATATTATTAATCCAATCTATACAATTTTAAATACTGTGGCCTAATAAATAGTCTTCTCAAGACTTCTGCTTACATGCTTTATTTTCTTTCAAATATTTTCTTCACTGCAACACTGACATCTTTATTCCTCAGGCTGTAAATAAAGGGGTTCAGCAAGGGTACAACAGTAGTGTAAAACACAGAGGACACTTTCCCTTGGTCCATAGAATTCACTGATAATGGCTGTAAGTACATGAAACCAACTGAACCGTAGAAGATAGCAACAGCAGAGATGTGAGAACTGCAAGTACTGAAGGCTTTGGACCTGCCCTCCATGGAGCTAATGTGGAGGATGCTGTGAATGATGAAGATGTAGGAAGTAATGACAGTCAGCATCGGGACAAAGATGTTCAGTGTACCAAAAAACAGAATCAACATTTCATTGATATAGGTACTAGAGCATGCAAGCTTCAAGAGGGGAAGAAAATCACAGAAATAGTGGTTGACCACCTCTAATCTGCAGAACTGAACCCTAAACATGAACACTATATTTAATGAAGCACAGAACACAGCAAAAATATATACCCCTGAAATCAGTGAGCAGTAAATCTGAGAGGACATAGTTACATTGTAAAGCAATGGGTTACAGATGGCAACATAGCGGTCATAAGCCATTACAGCCAATGTGTAGCTCTCTGCAGTTCCAAAAATGATAACAAAGTAGAGCTGAGCCAAGCATTCAGAGTAGGAGATGAGATTCTTTTCTACCAGAAAGCTCACTAGCATTTTAGGGGTAACAACTGTGGACTGACAGAAGTCAATGAAGGACAGACTGCTGAGGAAAAAGTACATGGGTGTGTGTAGATGGGAACTGAGCCCAATCAGTATAATCATGCCAAGGTTCCCTGCTACAGTGATCATATAGATTCCTATGAAGATGAAGAAGAGGGGCAGCTGGAGTTCTGGCTTCTCTGAGAGCCCAGCCAATAGGAAATCAGTCACTGTGCAACGGTTTCCTGCTGTTGTGTCTTCCATTCTTATCCTGAAGAAGTAAAACAATCATAAGCCAGTTAAAGTGACTTTATTATTATTTTCCATGTATACAACATACCTATATGAATTATATTTGGTTTAGTACACCTTTTTCATGTACATAATTACCTTAACTGGATTACCTTAGATAAATAAAATTTCTCTCTTACTATTATTATTTTTAAAGATATACTTAGAAGTTAAAATTGTACTTCACATAAAATACTAGCACTGAATTCAAGTTTTATACTTTTCATCATTGCATAGCAAGATCTCGAAAGATTTAAAGTGTGTAGTGATGAAAAATTACAAGAATTTGATGAGTAAGTAAGCTTTTCATAAAAACAGTGAATGATTATCCAAAATTTATTATCCCTAGGGGATCTTCAGAGCTACTGTTTTTGACAGTCCCTTTTTTTTTCTCATTTCTATCATACATAAAGTCTTTATAAACTCGAATGTGAAAATTGATTTGCATCTCAAGGAGACATTGCATTAAGTACTGTAAACATGTGTCCAGTACTTAATCCTAGTAGAACCATGTGACCAGAGCTTAAACCTAGCAGCATCATGTGTTCAGGACTTGATCCTAGTAACACCATGTTTACAGTACTTAATGTAGTATAAAGAAATAAGTGTTACTGGTATCACTCAGAAAATCTGAAATATGATTTTGTGTTGTAAGATTATATTAACTTTATCTCAAATGAAAAATTAGGTATTCATACATATTAAAATTACATAAGCAGACTCAAAGCAATTCTTCCTTTTCCATTTATATTTTGTGAACTAAGAAGGGTTGCAATGTAGAAACCAATTACTTAGGAGAATGTATAATTATTATCCTCTATCCTATTGCATTGTGAATCAATTGTTGATTGTGTATACAAAGAAAACTCTTAATGAAATTAGAGTTCAGTTATTAAAAAGTGAAAAGATGAAATGTTTTTAAAATGTAAACATTTAAATCTTGCATAGATAACAACACAAATCTCAGGAAAGTTCACAGACTTAAGAGAACAGTGTATAATTGAACTACTAGAAGACAATCATTGGCACCTGTGGAAGACTTCAACTTCAAGATTAGTTAGAAATTCTCACACAAATAAAGAAAACACAAAAATATATCTGGGTACACCAGAGCAGATGCTCTTAAGATTGTGAGAGTATGCACAGGAACAGTGTAAGCCAAAGCCAGACCATGTGCCAGCATAGAAAGGGGTGTTCCACTCAGGATTCACTCCAGCTGAGGAGCTATTGGCTCTCTATAACTTCTGAGAGAGGACATATCAGTTTCTCTTAGAGTGGAGTGCCAGACAAGTTAACTGTGTGACAGGGGGAAATCATATATCCATGAATATATAGAAGGAACACATTGGCTACGATGGGAAAACAGTAACACCAGGACATAGAGCTGATGAAGGGAAGAAGCTGTACCTGGGAAGAATTGGAGGAAGAACAGTGAGTATGATCAAAGCATATGTATGAAAGAAAGAATTAAGTAAAGGGTTTTCAAGCTTAAAGGAATGAAAATGAGGAGACAAACCCACAACGATTAAATAAATCTGCCATAGGACTCAATATAAAATGTCTTAAATATTTTCAATAGTGATACCATAAAGATAACAATGTTTAAAGTAAACTGAGAGTATTTATGGAAAGTAAACCCTATAGGTAAGATACTTACAAGGTCAGCATGTAGAGCGTAAATATGTATACAAGCATAGAGTCATTATGATTCAACATCAATGAAATCAAAATGAGACATCTTCATACAAGTATATAAGAATAGCTGTTGTAAAGTTGTAGCAATGTCACATGTAGACAAGGAGTATCTAGACATGTCGCAGAGCATGCATTAGTGGAGTAAATTGTGAAACCTTGAAAATTAGTAAAACTGGCTTTATAGCATATTACAAGTGTGAACACATTTTTTTTCACTTCAATTATGTGTTTCTCAGGTTTTTTTTTCCAGGATAAATGGGAATACTTTAAGGAGTAAAAAATAGTAAAAATGTTCTGGCAGTTCTATTCATTAATTATTAAAGTATTAGTAACAAAGAACCAAATATTCAATTGTATATTTTGTAAAGAAGGTAATTAGCATTTATAGGTATTAGCATTTATAATGGAACAAATCACTAAGGCAGACAAGAGGATACAATTAAAAGGCATGCTATAATTGGAATAGCTATGAATTAAGGGAGGTTAAGATGGAAAGCAATGATAGATAGATAGATAGATAGATAGATAGATAGATAGATAGATAGACAGACAGACAGACACAAAGTCACAATCACTGTGAGTTCATATGTGAAGCTGTCTCTTTTTGTCTGGATGACACTGTTCCCTTGTAATCATTTACCACCCTGGTCGAGTAGGTCCCTCTTTTGGTGTTGCTACCTAGTAGGATCCCATAAACCATGCAAAAACCACAGGCTCTTCTCATTACTATCAGTTACACTCCAGAGCTCAACGATATGACCTTGTTGCTGAAAGTACCCTGTACTTGAAACACAGGGCATGAAGATATCAAATTATCTGGTTTGGTCTTTAAGTTTCATCATATCAGCTAGCTTTTATAGTTCTGGAAGCTACTATCGACACTACTGGAAGAAGCAACTACTCAACAAACTTATTGATCTCTGCAACCCGTGACCTATATTACTATCTGGACTTGAAGACATTCTCATTGCTAAAATTGAGTCATGAACATCATTGGAGTATTGAAACATTTTCTCTCCATAAAATAAAAGCTAGACTGGATACTTGTCAGACCAAAAACAAGTTGCTTTTTAGATATTTTAAAAATGTTATCAAAGCATATTAAAGATTTTACTATTTCAAAATAGAAACTATTTTGAAGCACTGCATGTATGTATTTTGTTTGTTCACTTTTTATTATATTGTTTAGTTATTCATGTACCCATTGCCTTTGTGAACACTGTTCTATTAACTATTGAGCACAATACAGGAATACATACACCAAAATACTTGTTATGTTTACTTACTTTAATTTTCAAACTTGCGTCACACCTATTTTTAATAAACTATATTTTCTTTTTGCTGCAGTACAGTTTTAAATCTGTTTTGTATTGTATAAGTGTATAACTGCAAGGTTTACATTTGCTAGTCTGTGTATGCCAAACATATCTTAGAACGTAGCAAATTATATTATATTTTTTATATTATCCTAGTACATTATTATCCAGTGATTTATGAAAGATCTCTCACGTGGCTTCTTAGGTCAGGGGCTGGTGAAGTGGATTATAGCCAAGAGGTCACAATGATGACTGATGGTTTAACCATTAGGTTTCTTAGAACTCATGATTTATCAGAGCTCTAAATCTCTCCTAAGGTCTTCCTCAAGCTTCTACTTCTACTGTGTTCCATGAAGTTAGGAAGCACTAACATAGAGCTGTCATGTTAAGATTCAGGCTATGATATTCACCATGAATTTTCTAGCTTAAAAAAGGCCATAGGCAAGATGAAACACAGAAGGTGGCAGAAGTGTGGAAAATATTGAAAAGTGATATAATTCACATACAAGTAACATGTTATGAGACACCTTTTATGTTTGAAAGCATAAAAATTACACTTTAATATTATTCAAGAGTATTATGTCAGTTGTTTATCTTTAAAAGGGAAAATGTTACTTATTCAAGCTCATGGACTATACTGCACCCTAAGTTTCTTGATAATTCACTTTCAAAGATCTAGAGAAAGGATTCCATTCCAATTTATTTGTAAAACAACAGCTCACTCCCTTGTTTCTCCTAAATTCATTCATACAACCTTCTCCCTCTGTGATGGACACATTGGAATAATTACAGTTCCTAAACTATAGTAATTCATTGTCCAGATTTTAGAATGCTGTTTATTCTACTTGAAAGACTGTCGTCAATAAATACTGCTTCATTATTATCTGGTAAGTATGTATATCCTTTTACATCCTGTCTAAAACTGTTGCTGACAGGGTGTGGTTCTCCAAAATATTTAAATGAAATTAACCTTTCTACAATGTCCTTAGGATGTTGTAATTTCTGAAACTTGCACTTACCTTGTGAAATAAAGTACACTACTAACCAGATGACTAGTTGGACTTATTTTTCAGTCTCATCAGTAATTCATGCCTGCCTCATTACTGTTTTTGTAATTCATTAGGAATAAGGAAATAATTAGAATGATTGAGGATATCCAGCTTTTTCTGCCTGACTTCTGATAGTGATTGTTCCAGTCCATATAGTCCTAAATCACACATTTGAGTATGTGAGACAAACTTACTATGTTACTTTTCCTGAAATTCTAAATATCAAGTTTTAATTGCTGCTTGCCAATTGTACTAATTCAGGAACTGGGAGAAGCAGGCATCCAGCATTCTACAGTTAGTGTTGAGAAGACAAAGCTAGTCTTTAATGGCTACAGTACCTTGAAGCCTGTTCTTTATCTCCAGTCATCTTGTTCCAGGACTTCGTGCCTCTGCAGATTCGATTTCAAATACACAGTCATCTGAGCAGTTGTGAAGCTCTATCTTGACTTTAACTACTTCAGATACTGTCTGTCAGGAAATAAACTCTCCCTTAAGACTTTCATTATTCTGAAGATATGCTAATAAGAAAAATAAGCAATTATCACTGCTAATTCCCAATTGTCAAGTAATTTTTTAAATAATTCCATGTCATGTCTAAACTTTCAGCTCCCAAATAAAGGTTTTGAATATGTAGATCACTGAAAATTTGTATGAAAATGCTTACTCTGATCCAGTAGGTGTGAGTGGATGTGAGATTCTCTATATTTCTTAGGAACCTCTGGCTGCACAACAGACAGAGACCCCAGAGGCATAACTAGTTTCTCCAAGTATCAATACTGCCTTGATTTGTTCCCCATTTAAGAAAATCAGAACAATAAATTGTCTAAATGAAAAGAATCGGGGCACCATTGTGACTACAGAATCAGGTGTGCTCTATCAGGACTAAATAGTTAGAAAACAGAACAATCTAAAA